TCAGTGAAACGCTGGTTCATCTACGTTCTCTCAACACAAAGAAGTTACGCATAGAGCTGAAAAAGGCAGAGAGTTTACAGTGTCTGAATAAAAGATGACACTTAATAGATACGCTTTGTTGAAATACCGAAATTGGATCGGCCACTCTACCGCGCGCTGATGACATCTACCTGCATTTTGAAAGAACGTTTGCCGGCTGACGTTCGTGCTCAATGGACAGATTAGAGGCTGACAAAAGTGCCAGACTTTTGATATGAGAATATATCTCCGAATTTTCGACCACTTATATTTTGAAGTCAACGTTGATTTGGGTAAACTTTTAGGTCTCTTATGAACTCTACTTTTATCACCCGAGCAGCATTTACGGTGGGGTTCCTATTACATTGAACAGAACTCCTGTAAATTTCGTGACCAGAAACATTCGTCGTTAATCTTTAGTGTTCGTGGTGCTGGGTGTCCAAGCTGCAGTGTACCTGATCACTCCCACACGGCGTGTCGCAACTCAAACTCAAACCTCAGTTTACTGACAACTTCCCTCAACATCTGACTCCATGCGAGATGTGAAAATGGAGTTCCATGATAAAGTTCGGTACTCTGCTTTAGACCGAACAATCAAACTTTGATGAACCGGATTTATAGCTCCGTCAAGGATGCAATCTTATCTGAATACCTTTCAAACAAAGATAAAACAGATACTTAAAACAACTGATAGCATATAGTATTTTGTAAATCCGAGTCTCAAGGTCTAACATGAGCGGTAGGTACAGTTCCTCAGGATCCATTCTCCCCAAATCTCGACAGCATAACGTCAGAATCAATAGTGATGTTTCACTGCTCTATAAGGACTCTAGTTCAATGAAAATTAAGTTCGATCCAGTACTTCTACATGATGAGCCAACGACAAATGGGCAGAGAATGCTTGTGGTGCTGAACATCTGTTGTATTTTTTAATAGAGTAACAAATGAACGTGTAGTTTGTGTAAATAAAGAATGCGAAACTAAAGAGTAGAAAAATTATACAATGTACACCAATTTAAGCGGACGCAAACCTGCCACATACTAAGCTATTTGAACTGAGAGCGCAAAAAGGCATGGCTTGTAAAAATCATCAGATAAATGCATTGGGGGTAAACTGAATCACGGCATCCTTTTTGTATATGAGTAGTGGAAACGGACAGTAGCAGTTGAAGCATTCAAGTGATGCCCATTACGCCGTTCCTCAGCCGACTCAGTTGTAATATAGCTCTGACGAACTTCCCTTCCATTGGCTGAAACAGCACTTCATGAATATATCTATCCGTTCGAGATGATTGCTTCTGTGACTACCGGGCACTCAGGACAGTATTCGATTAGCAAGTTCAAGTGCCACCCAGTCGTGTTGTCGAACAGCCGAACAATAAATGAAGGGCGGTTGCCTGTTTGGCCTCCCTCTTTTTGAATCTAGCACCTTGCCCGCTTCTGTGGAATCAGCTGGATCGGTCGAAGAACGAGGCAATCGTCCAAATGAATGTTTGAACCTAATACAACTGTCCGTGAGAAGAGACCGAGGAATGTCATTGTCGTTCTAGCTCCAGTTTGTCTATTCGTAAACCAAACACTGGGAGAATGGTGCAACGTACAAGGTGTCGTCAGTTTTGACGAATTTTATTAAGCTGAAGAATTTGACGACCCCAAAAGCTATTGGCGAAAAATCTTCCCAGCCCAACCTCCATATCTGACGACAATTCATGCAGACACTGGCGCTCATTCAGACAACAAATCAGTCGGTGGGATTACACTACTGGCATGCACTAGGCTCGACGGTCAAGGATGCTGGGTCGTGATTTAACCCCCCACTTTCAAGTTTAACTGTGATATCGCCTTAACAAGGCGGCGCAGTGTCTATCCCAGAATAAATTTCCCTTACAAAGGGTTTCAAACAAGGGCTCGGTAAAGTGAACTGCTGGTGCTCTCATGTCGATTCGAACTCAAAATGTCACCAGGGACTACAGTTTAGTCGTTCAGTTGACCGTCTAATTAACCGCTTGTTTAACGTGAGCAAGCACAATGGTTACCAGTTATCTAATCGATCCCGCCTGCTACCAAGAACATGTCCGTCATTCCACACAACCGTCGAGTAATGTCCCGGCTGTTTATACACATCATCATCATCACGCCAGGCAGAAGCTTCTCGGTTAGCTGCTCTGATAGACTAAAGGCTTCATATTCGTTGGTATAGCCAGTAAGGAATGCGCTCATGTTTAAGCTTGATCCGGTAGCGTGACTGATGTTTACAGGAAACTCCATAGCACCGTGTTAAACACAACACAAGACAAACCTGGCATTGAAGGGGTACTTCCTTCAAGTAACTAAACACACCAAACTCTTCGGGGCTTAGTGAACCACCAAAAAGGTAAGGCACATCTCACTTTTGAACATGCACCTGATGGAACATTTTCTCGATCTGGTCTTTATCGAAAGGGCCAAACGAATGCCAAGCAAGGTTAGAGCTAGTGCTTGGGAATATTTGGTGTACTATGTTGCACAGTTTGAGCCCCTCTGCTTTTGCTAGGATTGAGTAGGTCTATCACTGGATTGTGAAGTGTCCCTGCGTTCAAGTGATCAAGAACTATCTCAACATGACAACTGGTGATAAAGCCAGTTAGTAGATTGATTGTGGGCATCACTGTGCTTCAGTTCAAGACCGAATAAAACGTCACATAGTCTGAACTACGGCCGGCGTCGCATTTTGAAAATGTCGCTGTTGGTGGCACGACAAAGTTTCAGGTTCCCAACAGACCACTCATTCTGTGAATGAAGTCGAGTTATACTGAAAAGCCGAGAAGTGTTCAGCTGTTTCACCCATATTATAAACCATAAACGGTGCAAATCAAACGCATCTTCGGTTAACAGTTGTTCAACAATGATCAACCAACGCATAAGTTAGGGCCACCGACATTTGAGGAATCAGCTGATTATTGTCGATTACGTAACGTGAAATCTGTGATAAAAAGGAAGACGGCGTAACATCCTGTCCTTCGATTCAAGTCGGTGTAGGATACAAAACTCGACTTCGAAACAATCCGGTGCAGTAAATCCTGTTACCTCAAGCAGAAATCATGGTTGTTGGAAACAAGTGTTGGAGTAAAATTTGACTCTAAGACTAAGACTGAACTTGCCAACACGAGTTTATCATACGACTTATTACGAGTGCGCCCGATGACCTTGAACGATGTTTGTACATTGCTTAGCTTGTGCCCGCCATTTATGTTTCAATACATTGTAACGCAGTTGAAACTCGACTGTATTGCTGGCCTAACCCTCCGCGCGGAAAATGCAAGATCTTCCAGAGTAAAGTGCTGTTCTTGGGCCACATTCCCCCTTCCGATGGGAATCGTGATGTCCAACTACTATCCGTCGTCAACATGATCGACAGCAGAACAGCAATGTCTATCGATGAAATTTTGCTTCTGTACAGTGATAACTTATTTGAAACCTTTCTTGTGAAGAAAAGGATAAAAGTGGATGGGAAAGGGGCCTTGTGCCAGCCTATTACAACCATTCCGATGTGCGCTCACCTACAGACATTCATCTAAACAATCCGAATAGAAAGTGACAAAAAGAAAGACACTGGCAGTTACCGGCAACAACATGCAGCAACTTCTACAACAATACAGAGGGACCCTATCATGAACCGACAACACCCAGACGTTTTGTAATCACTTGCATAGTCCTCTACGAGATCAAAGGCTGGCCGCATCGCTGCTTGCGTCACTCTGAATCGGGCACAGAAAACACCGACCTTTCCGATAAACAATGATTTCACATGTAGCAGTACATGACCAAACCAACTTTTGTTGCCGGATACATCCTTAGTTTGCAGTCCCTGTTGCACAACCGGAGACTTGATTTAATTTTTTTCCGTTGGCAACAGCCTACACGAGCCTTGGTTCTGAGACAGCGGTTAGTGAAAACCTGAGAACGTCTCATTTCCACTGCTCGTAGCGGCTACACCTCACGACTGAACAGCACGTTCTATGGCATGATGTACCCGCCCCCGAGGTTCAGGAATATGCCACTTTGCCACCATAGGTGTCTCAAATGAGCGGACTCCATCCGAGTCATCGAGAATCTTGCACTGACTCATCCATCAAACCAAAATCGGAGTTTATGTGAATTACGACTTTGGACCGTAAATGGCATGCCCGGAAGAACAAGCTTACATTTTTTGGGTGCGAAGGTCATGCGAAAGGTGGGAAGTCTTTGGCCAGATCATCCAAAAACTCTTCAAAAACAATAACGATGCTGTCTGTCTATTCGAGATCGATAAGGTTTTCGTCAGCAGATACTGGAGTGCCAGGGTATCGAAGACCCCCTAGTTTTCAGTTTATTATCCCGTCAATCATGCAAATGAACAGGAACCCAGAGATTGGGCATCCTCTGCGGACAACACTTTTTGTACGGGGGTTTTTGGAGAGCAATTCGTAAATCCCCACACGCCACCAAGTCTCGGAATACAGAGAATTTGTCATATCGACGAGCTTCCGAAACATTTCTTAACGAGCAAGCATGCTAAGGAGATCAAAGTGGCCAAAGTACCACGGGAATCTAGGAACACCAACACTGCGGGTCGCTTATACATAGGGATTTGTTCTAGCACATGACCGAGTGTAAAGATGTGGTCAACGCAATCCACACCCGCTTGTCGCTCTAAAAGTGATGCCTCACAGGCGGTCATCAAACGATCAGGGACAACAACAGTCTCGTTACGGCTGGAGTCAAGCTGAGCCCTGTGAGTGCTGCATTCATCACGGAAGTGAGCATTATCATGACTCCTCCAGCTCTCAGGACGAACCTCCTTTCCCCAGTCGGTGACAATTAGATCAGACAGGCGCTGACTGAGGAACTCACTATCGCCTCTGAACAACGCTGTAACACATTTGAAACCCTACTGTACCTGATTGTATCCCTATCATATGACAGTATGTGTGCCTCTCCCTCCCTCTCTTCCCCTATTACAGGTACCACGGACGAGGCACCACGGGCCCTGGACAGGGAAGAGTATCCCGCTTGTACAAACCCCCGGACTGACCTTGACCGGCCCCCCTTTGATTGTACTTTCTACTTCTTTCCGGTTTCGATTCGGGTTAATACACCTGCGTTGTTGCTACACTCCGGTCTTCTTTCCTGTACCACCCGACCTGTGCGCATGTGTGCTGTGTAGTGTGTGTGGATTCATTAATACCAGTCCGTATATCTGCACATTTCAGAACTGACGTGTGCCGTCCTCTCGAACGTCGAATACCGATTCCCGACATCCGTCGAATACCGCTGAATTCCCGACATCCCGCGCTACAACATACATGCTGTTGCTCCCTTCTGGTGTTCTCTTCCGTATTACCCTGACGCCGCGTTTGTGATCTGTGTGCCATATGATTCCACTAATACCAGTTTCCATTTCTGCTAGTTTTAGAATCAGTGTGCGTCGTCACCACATCCTTGTGGACGTCGATTGCAGCTACCTTTCGACTGAATATCCGTACTACAGAATAAGAGAGCCATTAGTGAACTAACTTCAATTCCCATCGTTCCACAAAAAACGAGAACAGCGGGTAAGACATGGTTTTACTAAATCCACAGACCTTATAAACCACACATAATAATTACACTTCTTACTGAACACCTTGCAAAAGATGAAGGCCTTTTGGGGTAAAAGCTGATAAAAAGCAGTCAACAGGAGTGGAATAATTTCTCTGAAGTTATGAAAACTGATTAGTTTGGTCGGAAAAGACGCCAAAGTGTGTGACATTACACGGACAGTGTTGTCGAGCTGCAGATCATGTGGTCCAGCGTCCATCGCAGAAAAAGACCGGTAATTTGCAGCAGCACACGTAAAGACAATACTAACTGCAGTGCCCTACGCACACATTTTATTTACAGTGAGTCTCAAAGCACGTGAGAGTATTCATTTTTGGCATGTACAGTTATCCTGAGATGGCTGGTTTTTCGGCAGTGGATAAAAGGTGAACGGGGAAAAACCAACGCGATCATGAGGTCATTCATGGGTCACAATTATGTGAGTATGGTATTGGTGTTCTTTAGCTTCTCAACAGGGTATTCGATAGAAGTATCACGTCTGACTTGATCAGCGCAATCCTGATGATGCACTTCCAACAACCGGTTATCACTGCAACCATCAGGGTTATCTTCCATGTCTTTGTCCGTATGATGTGCCTGATAGCCGTTCGTCAGCGAGAGGGAAGGGGTTTTATGAGGCGGACTTACATCGGAGTCGGAAGTTAAGAAGAGCTGATTGCTCTGAAAATCGTTGGAAGGATTGCTGAATTCCTGAGAATCTTCAGAGAATGACATCTTGGTTGGTGATAGATGCTGCTTTTCAGAGCGTTTGCAGTCTGTGCGATTTGTGGATACGGTTTGTATGTGGCTTCGAAGAAAATGTGTCAAGAAGTTCATGCAATCTTGCTGATCTTCACCGCACACACCACAGCCGAATGGCTTCGCGTTAGGGGAGGATGAATGCATCCGCTCCTGATGCAATTCAAGCATCTGTTTGTCTATAAAGTAGGTCTGGCAGCTGAGACATCCGTGCAACAGACCGGCAGTTTGTAGATGACGCAAAACCACATGCATGAGCGAGGAATCAAATGTAATGGACTTCAACAATCTGGCCAGGTTGTGTGGGGTAAAATAATTAGGAGGAGACTCAATGCCACGCTCATCCAAATGCGGTTCGTTTACTTTTTCTTCGGTTGTGGTGAAGCTCGCAATCCTAGTAGTCGGGAAGAATTGGAAAGATACATTAGAAACAAATTGTAATTTCCCAGTTCTTATTCCCTTGTCCAGGCTTTTACGCTGCTATACTACTACTAGAAATAAGTAGCAAAAGACTAACAGTGTTGAAGTATTTTTGCCACGGTTCAAGACCCAAGGTTTACTACTGATAACCCCAACTACAGGGTGGAACAGCGAAAAATACCCCATTGACCAGACGAATAAGAACGCTTGAGTCCCATTACGGCGCTTCTTGTGAGGAACCCCTTCAAGAGGACACATTTGCTTGAAATAACTACTCCGTCGGCAGGAGCTTCTTCTTTCTTGCACTCCTCCCGAAACTCAATTTTCAGTATCAAACAGGGGATAATTGTTGGTTTTCATAATAATCGCCTAGCCTACATTTAACTTACCTAACTTTTTAATCATCAGCCATCTGAAAATAGCTTGTTACGAATAATATTGCCATCGATCGTCTCTCTCAGAACAAGCCTTCGCCGGAGGTAGTTTCTCCCCAAAAGTGTCTGTCGTACTACTGAGGATCAGGCAGATCAAAAATGACTGTAGCCAGTGAATATATAATTGCGGTAGCGCTCTAGTACCTTATTACATATTAGTATTTGGGAGATTCAACAGAGAGCCACCCTTACCGCCTGGTTCGCGCTACGCCTGCAAATTTGTCGCTGTCACTAGCATGCTATGAACTTTTCAGACTAAAGCGAAATACACTCATTTGCATACCAATTTGGTTTTGTCGGGAGGCTCATCAGGAATCCGTCTGAATCTCTCGTTTATGATGTGATTATTGTTGACGGAAATGCGGGGAGTGTGCCTACCTGATGAGCCCCAAGAAGGGCGAAACCGGTTACGCACTGTCGAAGAGTTTTCAACAACCTTATGAGTATTACGTCTTTTCAGCCTACGGTATTTGGGTAAACGCACTTTTAAACAACCAGGTACGACAAAATTCCTTCCATGCACTTGTAAAATCACAGAAGATCCGAAAATGGACATGCCTCACCAAGAAACGCAGTAAGCTCTGGCAACAGAGATACTTTTTGCTCAAGTGTGCCCAAGCTCTCCCAATAAGATTATGGAGTTGCGTTTCAGTAAGATGCCGACAACCAGTAGCATAGAAAATTTCTCGGGTTCCATGAGTTTTATATGCCATAAGGCTTTCGCCGTCGTGTTCCAATCACACAATAAACAATTAGTAAACTGAGGTAGATTGGGTCAGTCAAACAAGGCAAGCATGGACTGTTATATCATTCGTCGATTTGCTAACCATCCTGACCATTCAAACAGCGAGGCTAAAGTTTTCTTGATAACATGAGTGGATACAAACAGACATCGCTTTCTGGTGCTGGAAGCTTTGATTCAAGGTGTACCCTCCACACGTTAAGTCTGTCGACCAGTTGAAGAAAATTACTTCCATATCATAAGAGTGGAGATCAATTGAACTCTCGCCTAATGGGATTTTGCACATTCCTTCACTTTATGGTAAGTTTGGTGCATTCTTTTGCCGATGCCTCGTATTTTCTTTCATAAACACTGGTTCATGAATAGAATTTTAGCCTGAAATATTTCCACAGGTTGTCGCCTTCCGCATACCCCAAATAGTTTGGTGGTCTTTCGTATAAACCTGGTTCTATAAGTCCAGTATTCAACATAGTACAAACAAACACATCTACAAGATGACACGAACAAGAAAAGGAGAGTGAACGTCTAAATTGCAGTAAATCAGTGTAATAGTCTTCTCTCACCTGCCGATGGCTGGCTCCGTGATGTCCGTTGATAAACAAGACGATGGTGAATACTGCGAAGCCTTGTCTGCAAAACTCTGTCTTGATCGAGCGACTCCACTCATTTGGTGGCTATGTATGTCGGTTTCGTTGGACGCCTGTAATAGGACGTTGGTGAGGAGAAATATATTTTGCGGTTGAATTGTCGCCAAATGACACAGAACGTGATTCATACAATTTCAAGCAAAATGACATTTCACGCACTTTACGCCTCCATTTACCAGGGTGCGTTCTGTTGTACTGACACCTTCTATCCAACCTAACGTGCAAATCTATCCGAACGGCATACAACTGCTTGATGCCGTATATAACTTTTAGTATCCTCCGTCCGAAAACACCCGCAAAAATTCTGTGATGCTATGTCTCTTTTCCTTTCAATGCTCGCTGGTTTCTTGGATGCAGCACCCCGTCCAGCTGCAACGGATGATTAATTTCATTTCGAAATTCGCCTACTAGGTAAATTTTCAGTAGTGTACATATTAAGCGAACAGCAAACTCAGGCGACCCGGCGGCAACGGAATGTGATGTATCTTAGAGTCTACTTAATCAATGGAGGTACTAGTTATCCGGTACTGACAGTTTTCTGGCATGGGTTAGGACGTAAAAAGGCTGACATTTTGGCCATCTCTGTAGCATGATTACGAAGCTGTTGATTGATTTTAAGTCGAGATCTCCAATTCGGCCCATAGCTGTTGACAAGGTATTACTAAACTCTGTTATGACAGAGGAACAAGGAAACGGACAGCAGAAGTTCGTAGGATTTCAGGACCGCTGCGATCTGCACTTAAAACGGAAAAATCATCGGACAGAGTAGCCTGTCCTCTACTTTTTCTGCTATAAATTCACAATCCCGGTCCCGCGACCCTGACGACCCGGCAAAACAAAAAACTCAGGAGGGACAAGAAATTTATGCGAGTTTAATTCTACGACTCTCAGAGATCAACAGCATTTTTTCGAGATCAGGAAGTGTGGGCACCGTTTAACATGGCAATTAATTTGTGTCCAGTTATGGTGAGTTAGGTTATGCGAAAATAAATTTTAGTCCCAATGGTTACCTCCAGTCGTGATCGCAGCAGTATTTTCTCGTAAAACTGACAGTCTCCATGACTTTTGTATAATACTGTAAGTCATTGGACATCCGAAGAACCATGGACTGGAAGAGGAAGTGGATTATTATCCTCCCAAAATACTCCTCTAAGTTACACGGTACCAAAAAAGTGTAATCTTTCTGTTAAGTTTATTGCAGGCAAATCCTGTTTCATCATGCTCCCGACGTGCGCAGACATGCCATCAGTTTGGCTCTGTAGAGCCTGCACGTAAGTGCAAATTGGTCCCTCTGATAAATCAAACTTAGAGAAACATCGAGATGTCGACAGTCTTGCCTGGTTTCATTCAGTGCGGAACATCACTTTGCATTTCAGCGGCGTATGTGATTATGAGGTGAAATTTATTCGCTCTGTCGTTGGACAGCGTTTGACAATGAGGCTGTGACAGCTGACCACTATTCAACTTCAGTTTGTCAAATAACCTATATTCACTAATGTGTCGGTGATAATCAGAGGACGACCAGTCACCCAGCTTAGGAGCGAAACACTGAGTGGTAATCAAAATCAGAGTGATCTTGGGGTCACGGTAAAAGTCACAGAGTACTTGCTTCAATCAATGCAATTTTTCATCCCATACTTACCGCCTGTTATTCAGGAATGACCTTTCAAACTGGATCAAATGGAAGACAATATTTTTATAGAGGAAAATGTTGGTAGCTCAGATAGTGTGGATAGTTGTTGGCTTGCTCGCTGAGCTGGGCAATTTGATTGCAAACGTTTCATAACCAATCGAGGTGACATCATCAGTGCGTTGTTTGGGTGCGTAGTGGTGCGTAGCGATGGGTTGGTGGTTGTGTGGAGGATAATACAAAGCAGACTGACATAACAAATCACTTGAAAAGTGAGCAGTTGACTTAGGGCTTACAAAACCATGGATCTTTTGGAATATGGACCCTCCCCCAGAATGTACCACTCTGACCAGATCCCAGGGGCTGTTCATACTCTAAGTGTAACGGAATGTGCCACAGTAAAAAAGGCTGAAGCCGGCCAAAACGGTGATTTCAAACACATGGTGGGTGACGGAACACTAGGTCAGATGCTCCCAAACGGTCAGCAGGGATGATAACTCAAAAGGGTGAGTAACATGAATTGTCACTTGCAAAAATGCTTCCTTTTCTTTGAAACCAAAGGGCAACACTCATTCATGCCTGATAATCCACTTGGGTGGAACGTGGATCAGCACCTTGTAATTATTATTAAGATTATCCGTTTGAGTTATCCGTCGTGTATATGTGGTGGGCACCTGAGCCAGTCTGTCAGAATAATTTCTTCGTTGTACGATTACGTCACTTCGTATGGCATGAGCAACCACAACAAGGGTTAAACACGGCAGAAATATGGACTTTCGTATAGTTTCCGTAACCACTCAAGTCCTTGCCATTTAACAAGATACTGGCTGATGGAATCATGGCAAGTTAAGGTTCATTTCAAGTTCTTCTGCCAGCTTGCAACAGTCGATTAGTAGTATTGAAAACTTGGGTCTGTGTGGTAGTTCACCCCTTAAGTTCACCCGGAGAGACGCCGCAGGAACAACCGCTTTCTTCCTACTCAGGTGGATAATCTGGAAGACGGCAAAGTCGTCACATATGTTGTCAACCTCAGCTGTGCGACTTTGTAACTTTGTTTACTGACCTTTTATTAAGCACCAGACAACGTAGCCACTGTATACTGGGTTGGGGATCGAGGAAGATCAATTCCCTAGGAAATGTTATTCGTAGTAATTTTCGTATTAGCAACACAGGGAAGCCCCTCGGTGAAGTTGCATAAATGATTGTTCGGACGTACATCAGAGGTTCATGTAAGCCTTAGCTTGTAATGCGAGGCGCAAACGATAGCCCGATTTTGCTGCCACTGGTAGATTGAGAAAGACCACGTCGCTTTTTCACCATAGTTTCTTCCGACCACAAATGTCTAGGAGTTGGGATCGATTCGCAGTTTCACAAACATAAGAATGACGTAGGGTAAATCTTAGCAGCTAGTTTTCACTCAGCACACAGTAAAAAGCTGTCTAAATGTTCCTTGTAGGATACGTCCTCGTGAATTTTAGTGCAGGCGGTCAGTCAAAGTCGGTAAAAATCATTGTCAGTGGCGATTCTTGAGGAGGACTCGCTGCAGCTGGTTCGTTAACCTATTCTAGCCAATGTTTTGGAGGTAAAATGTGACGCACTCTCTTCTCAAAGTGAAACAGTGTCATTCAAAAGTGGAATGAGCAAGCAAACCACGGTAAACCTTTAAGAAATAGCACCAGTTATCCACCATCTAAATAAGACCATGAAACAACCCTGACTGTAAATTGTTAATCTGCCAGACATCTCGGACAAAGTGTGAGTAAGCTTACGTACAATCTCCCTTTACCTAATTTCAGTATGACATGGCGTTACTTGTGCCGTGAGTAGTAAACTGAACATTAGACCTGAGATTAATCCGCTTTGCATGTTACTTGAGTAGGCTCTGTATTTTTCGAACGAAACTGTTGCGCAGCATCCAGGAACTAAACACTCGAAGAAATAGACAGATGAAGCGAACCAGTGCTAAACCAGATTTGTGCCGTGAGTACATCATGTTAACCGCCAAAATACAACAACTTCATGGTTCCACAACGATCTGATAGTCGAGACTTGTGACAGCATCCCACTGGACGGCAAGAAGTACACATCAGTACAGTGTTTCCACGTCCCAGCCCATTCGAAATATTTTGATCAGACACCTATAGTGTATTCTTAATTGCTGCATTGTTGTTCTATAACCGGATCATTCAATACTTTCCGTAATCCGTGGTTAGCCCGAATGAAAAACACCATGACAGATCCATAAGACGTTGCATTGAGTGTGGAAGGTTAAACTACATCATATACGCACGATATCGGGATTTTTTAGTCCCGGGCTGTCATTCCTCTCACTTGTTCGGTTTTTGTGTGGTTCTTGATTTCCAAAAGCTTTCGGAATTTTTCGGGTGACAACGGAGAACACAGACTCCCATTAGAGTGTCCATAATGCAGATTTGTCGAAACGCCAGCTTCCGTCTACACAGTGCGATGACTCTTATCAATTCAGGCAAAACCCTTTCATGGTCAGTAAATTTGAGGAAGACAGTACGATTATGGCCACTCTGTGGTTCCATTCTCGATTGGTGATGGCGTGTAAAGTCATTAATCCATTCTTCAACCGTCCAGACTTTATTTTTAAAACTTCATCCAGCTTTTGTTAACCGACGGCTGAGCGATTCCAGTGCACCGACTCGCTTAACTAGCCAAATAAGGTGGGTGGAGAAGATAAAACGACCGAGGGACCGGTGACATTGCACGCTAGCTCTGACAACCACATCGGAGCCAAATACTGTCATGCAATAAACGGTAGAACATCATGCAGGACTGAGACAATGGATGACATTTCCAATTCACCAGCATTTGATTTTCCATCTCAGATCTGTTATCTTGACATCCATGTGCATAATGCATGGTGAGAAATTCCTGCTTCCATGCCGATCGGTTTCACTGCATTGTTTTTCAGATTCGTTTTCCACCCCTAGTTTTTGAAAATTCACACAGCATTTGCCCCGCCCTCCACCATTTTGATAGGCCGAAACAAAGGAGAATACACATGTGGAAGCGTTTAGCCCTATAAAATGCTTCAGGAGAAGTCGTTTTTGAGGTCTGGTAGTGACCAATAATTCTCTCAGTGGCTAATGTTTTGAAGAAACCGAATCAGTAGGTGATGACTCCGTATACAAACGTTTCTGTCGCGTAGACAGCTGGGTCGCATGAATGACTAGGCTTAAGTGTGGTTGAAATAATAAAACTGTAGGTCAAACTGTCGTAAAACTCACGAGATCCATGTGAGCTGATAAGTGAGCAGATAAACATTTAGAAGCTGAGAAAAAATCGAATAAAAAATCTTTCAGCTGTAGCACCCTTTCGGTGCTAGCTGCCACGAGGGTTGGGATACTTCCAGGTTGCCCAAGTCTATACAGGGGAAGTCGAGGGGCAGAGGTCGGGTTCTAACCACGGACCTTCCGGTCAGTCAATTCGCGCTCTAACCACTTGGGCCATCTCGTTGAGAGGCGGGTTTCATCTAAGGGCTTTATAATCAGGCCAAAGTGATGCACGACCAGTGGGGAAAATTAAACCACACAATAATCAGTCTGTTTATCTGATCTTGTTATACGGCTGAAATCTCACAGTGATATCTGTTCACAGATACTTTTTTTCATAAATTTTCCCAACTCATTTCATACGAGTTATAGAGCGGACAATTCTACAATCAGGCCCCTACTGATCGGTTTCGTCTTATAAGCGGAGTTTCCTCATAAAAAGACTCGGTATGGCATCTAGAATGAAGTCTCTATTCAAAATTATCGAATCTCCACAAAGCACCACCAATATTTAAGTAGCTCAGAGGAATAATAATTCCAGAGGTTAAGAAAAAACTTCCATCTGAGACGTTCCCACTCGAGGAGTCAGTCAGTACCCGACTGCGTGATCTGGTTTTCGTGGTTGATAGATGAGTGGGGCTATATCCTATCCAAGCGAGAACCCAATCAAATCGGTCAGATGTTTATTCCCTGGCCAGAAGATGCGGGTTGGGAAATTCTTGAGCTTCGTGGGATGTGCACTGCTGATGATCCCCAACATGAACTAAACAGCTGTACAATGCTTTTCGGCTTTTCAGAATAGGCTGGCATCATTGACAGGATGAAATATGTACTAAAAAAGGAAAGCAAATATATGATGGAACTTCGCTCGATTGAATGCTCTCCCACCTCCCACCCGTCAACACACGGAAGCAATGACTGGTGTGGACGAGACTGAGTGACTGTGCCAAAAAAGAACGAAGGAGCACTGTTCGAACGAGAGTGATGTGAATGCTATGAGTTCCATAACTACCTATTGCTTGAAATAAATCTACTCAGGTTTCGTTCAGTGTTTGATGCAGAGACTGATGGGAGTTCATTTTATTTGACGGGTAACCGTTATGCAGTACTGTTGACTGATACATACTGGGCTTCAGAGATAAACGACCATTCTCTAAACGAAGGCTGATGTTGTTCTTACACGACGGAACTCAATTTTCTGGTTGAACAACTTCCCATACAGTGACTCGGTGGAGGCGGAACCAGACAAAGGCCACCACTTCGACCTGATGTCACCTCGTTGGATTTCTTTCTCAAGGATTATATTAGGAGGCACGTGTGTGAGGTCAGACTGAGAAACTTGGAGCAGATGAAGGAATCTGTGCTCAGTGAGACGGACCTTGCACTCTACAGGAGATCAGCGCTGACTAATCAAGAAAAATACTGTAGTATAAACAGGCGAAAGAGGCACCAGTAACAAAATCCTTTCTTTTCATGAAAGATCAGAGATTTCCGACGTATCAGGTTATAATATAAGGGTAAAATGATACTAATAGTCGTTCAGCTGCAACGAAGGGATGAAAAATTAAACACTGATATCCCTAATGAAGGTGATATTGTATTGGCAGCTCTGCCTGCACTCAGTATATCCAGGGCGTTGGGAACAAAGCATAACACGTAAGGCAGCTGTGGAATACCAACACTGTCAACAAAGTACAGCCAAGATAAAAGAATGGTGCGCTCTGTTTTCCGTCAAAAGTATTAGATTGGGTTGTGGATGACGTCTGTGTTCCACATTTCTTCAATGCATCCAGTTTCGATCGTTTTCCTTGGTGGGTGAATTTAGTAGCCGTCACTGTCTGGGTGATTAGTGATTCATTGTTTCATACAAACCAGCTGTTTGATTCCTGTAGCTGTATTTCTACGAAAGTGATCCATAAAGCGACGGGTGAAACGACCGGTTGGTGTGGCGAGACGACTCACGTCAGGGTACAGTAATACACTAGCAAGTTGTCTACAGGTCATCCATTCATCACTAGAGGTGTCCGACTTCAATTCCATTTCTCCAATAATCTGTACATCCCTAAGACGTCAGGCAACCACCACATTGGTCTAAAAATGAACAGTTTGTCGTTCGGAAGCTACGGAAACGTCATATCGTTTTAGTCCAATTACCTCCAGTTTGTTTTGCAACTGTGTCACATTCCCTATTCAGGTATCGGTAGCTAAGGCCCACCGACCTTTCATGCCTATCTGTTGTGCAGAAACTCCGCTGTTGAACGTGGTCATCAAACAGTTTGAATGACAAAATCGTGCAGGACTTTTCTGCTAGAGGAGTGGAAATCCTAGTGGATTTTAGGGAGTACGTCAAATAGGGCTATTCCACTGTCTGCCACAACGTGGAGTTCCGCGTCCAATGACCGACCCCACTGTTTGTTTCTTCCTTGTGAAGTATTGTGGTAGATGGAGTTACTAACCAGGACTATTATGGTGTTCAAACTACTCTAAATTTGGTGTTTGTAAAACGCGAATAAAAAAATCCACCAACCTCGAAAGTGAGGATACCGAATAGCTTGTCATCACTACCAGTCGGGCAGAAAAACAAGACGAAAAGATAGCGCTGCTAACACACAAGGTTCATGTCTGACCCAGTTTGTGATAGACTGCATTTACCACGCATGGCTAATTGGGTGACGAGTAGGCGCGCACACACATATAGAGCTGTACCGTACCAGTCCCGTTTAACGGACTGAGTGTACGAAATTCATATTCGAAATGAGAGTTTGTAACAAACATTTTCACCTACTGAGTGCATGTACCTAAATCGCCTGAGGAAGCGGAGATGAATTTCGGTGATGCGCGGAGGGAGAGGGACCATAGTCAAAACGCAAAACCAAACACGTGGTAAGGCGACATGTGCGCCCGATGCATATGACTATGTTTTATATTTGTTCGCTTGTTGCAATGCTTTAATGGAAGCATACCCACACACTTCGCTGGTCTATAAACATACAGAATGGACAAATGCTTCGTCTCGTACTACGTTTCCCCTTCCTCTAAACTAGTTTTTCATTAGCAAGATGTGGTTGATCATTTATACGTACAACGTGGTAAACCCTCTACTTCAGTCCGTATTACACCATGATTCTCATGCGCCCCCTCCAATCTCCGTTTACTCCCAGCTATCAAACGGAAATGGAACACGCTTGAGGAAAGAACCTTAAACCAAGGCCCAAGACATCTGTTGTAGTGACCCGATTGTAATCCAGTAGGTGAGGAGAGCCATATTTCATCATAGCGATGCGGTAAATGTTATTTCACAATGGGTGGACCGCTTGGAAAGAGAGTGCTAACCACTCAACATGTGGGCTGAATTATTGCTCACAGTGTTACGATGATTATCTTCTGACGTGAATAACATATGGCTAGAAATGCCATTCAGTGAGGTTAGTTGGACTTACCGCATGCATCTCTATATACTATGTGGGTTGGAAAATAAAGCACAAACGTGTAGTGAAATGCACACAAGGTAAACATGTGAAAACTTGTCAGCCCCCCCCCCTCATGGCATAATCAGCCTAAATCTACAAAATGGTTTCCGTTAGTGGACCATAATTCATTGCGATCAAGTGCTGTGGTTCATCTCCACCGATAACTACTGTAAAATCCCTCAACAAAGAGTATCCGTGGATAGAATCGAAATGTCCCCAAATGCTACATGTTCCTTATTCAAGTGTTTTGGGAAAATAAGTCCAAACATCTAAGAATAACATCAGAACGTTTCCAATTCCAACTGATGTGGTTGAATTCAGAGACATAAGGAATGATTTTATAAGTGTTTCAAACAGTCATCCTGACAGGCTTATTGTTTTGAAACTTTCGAAAGGCCGATAGGAGGGATTGAGGTTCATTTTTGCCTTATGTCCGGTACTAAGCGTGTACATTGCATGAGACCGCAATTATTCTGTGAATCTATCTACCTCACCAATATTATCTTCACCAGGTGCCTCATTGGAGCTGTAAGAGTCGTCGTCACCGACTTGTTCACTCCAGGTCCGTCGATCGACTTATCGTCCTGGTTGGGAAATTCGATTGTCTTATTTCAGTTCCCAACTCGATTGCCTTCTATAAAATGCTGGAAGTACGAATGTTTCCTGCACGGTCAGATAGAAATTAAGTACACGTCTATATATTTGGGTTTTTACACCAGCTCTCACTTATTGCAATAGTCTTTATTCGTTCCTGGTTCCGTTGTCCCAATAATCCAAGGTTTCTTGCGCGATCACTATGGGTTCCCCAGGTCTCAGCTTCCCCGAAATTCTTGAGTTTATGAATCAGCTGAAAGCTCCGAAGTTGCCATCCGTTCTCACAGTCCTCTGAGTATCTTGCGATTGGGTGAGTTGGCAGCTGGTTAACAGTAACCTCGGTGACCGGTTGCCACTGTCTGGTTTCGACCACCTGCAGGTAGGCTAGCAGACAATCTCCATGTGAAGTTCCTCAATAAAACACACTATTTATAATGTTGCTAAAAACTCTTCGACACAAATTTGTCCCTCCTGGGCCCATAAGATTAGCGTCGTTATAGCGATAGCCACGGTAGTGTCCTCCGTACACATCAAATTCAGTTGCTAATGAGCGTATCACCAAGTCATATCTCTGTACTCCAGGCCTCGAATAGCAAAAGGTGGTGTCTGCTCACAAACATTATGAACAATGCCTAGCAAGCTATTTGAGTACAGTGAACGCGGATCGACAATCATCCACAGCCCAGATTCGAACCCCACATAAAAAACTTCACGCTGGCTGCTGGACTTCATAGTGGTAATTTGCAAACGCGTCTTAGAGGGGAAATATGAAAAAAAGCCACTCGCTAATGTGAAGACAAGACAACAACGATCTGCAAAAGTGGATCGGTATGAAGTTGGGTCGATATGCACCCAGCGAGGCGTTTCAGATTTTTAGTCGGAATGGATTAACACCAGACTCATTGACTCATACCCTCATGAGTGTGAACGGGTAACGCCTGAATTCAGCAAGATACTTCCGCCACTTGGACACACTGAGATCCTTTTGGAGAGATACCCCGGCTTCATGGGAAAGCGTATAAGGCTCCAGGCCTAGAGCTAGCGAAATACATACCAATTTGGTTTTGACCAGGGAATCACATGGACCCCAGCCGAATTCCTTTCACAATGAGCTAGCTCGCAATTCAGTGCTTTGGTTAAGCCGGCAAACCACAGTGAGCGCCTTTGGCCCGGTGGTGAAACCGGCTGAGAGCACACGCCCGGTCTGGTATGAACTTAGGTTACTGGACCGGTCAACGCGAACCTCAGATAGTTTAGAGCCCGCATGGGTCAAATGGCGACAATCAAACTGAGTGGACTGTGTGATCACCTGGAGGCTTTGTTAGTTCAAATAATTCCACCAGAACGTCTGTCTGCACTGGGTTTTGTCACATGTGAGGTTGTGCGAAGCATCGCTCGGTGGTATGAAGGCAAATCCACGTGACGTAGCATCAGTAGCCAAATATAGAAGAAAATTAGCCGTACCAAATTTTGCAACCAAGTTCATGACCCAATGAGCCTCATCAGTTATTGATTAATTAGGGCTGAGGGGCAAGTTGGGGAAAGATGACCAATGGTTCACAGAAAATGCTCTTGTGATTGCATTTAAGAAATTCGTTGATTGAGATGATAACAAAAACCTTGCCTAGTAATAAAGTAGACGATAGAGGAGAATGAAAATTATAGGCTGCTGATGCAAACTGAGGAGGTGGAAACCCTCCCCCTCAAAAAGCTAATAACTCCCAATCGTCGCGAAGCATCACTGGGAGCTTTTCCAATCAGACGAATCTGTGTGGATCTGTGTTCATGAAAATGTCTAACATTTGTGTGCAGGTGTACAAGCACACCACGATAAACTGATTTAGCCAGACTGACAAATCCATTTATTTGAGGTTGCAGACCTATTACCCTGTCCGATCACCACGATTTCTGGTACACACTGTAGGGGACCTAGGACACTAAATAACTTGCCAGTACGCTTGCAGTTGAACTTCACGCAGTTAACAAGAAAGCCGGCCAGACTTTATGTTAAGCCGATAGATTCATAACATCTCGGATGTTACGTCACTCTTACAAAGTCCGATATACTAAAGCATATGGCGTGACCCATTGGATGTCCTGTAAGGTCATTATGCCAAAATGGTAGTCCCACACAATTAACAGAGTGAGGCGCAAAGCTCGGTTCTTTAGTTGGTTCGTGGGAGACAAAACAAAAGTTCCTATAGTCATGTTATTCACCTAAGTTAGAGTTAAAAGAATGGTTTCTTGCCCTCCTAAATCCCACCCTATCCCAACAGACATCAGTGATAGAATATTGTCTCTATAGAAATACTGAAAGCAGTTCAAATCCTATCACACAAAGTGGTAGGGCTTTGTTGACAAAATGACTTAACATTTGGAAATCCAGGATCGTTGTGGCCAACATTGTTTATAGGCGCAATATTTAACATACTGGGATTGTCCCTGGGCTACAAACCTTGCCAAGTTTCCCACAGAGTACTCGGCTGGAGAGGAAAATGAAACCAACCATTAACTAGACACGGTTTGGTCACGGATTATTCTATTCCACTTCCTAGTTGGAGAAAACCACTGACCATAATCATACAATTGAAAGTCTCTGGTTTCAGGAGTGGCAAAATCGCACTCAAAAGGCAGATGTCACAGAAATAACGCTCACTGCCATTTTCCGGGGTACCAAATGTGAGCTAACACAAGAGTGGCACAACTATATTATTCCCTAGGCTAACAGGTCCTATAACTTAGTCATGAGGTTAACAGAACAGTGTTATTGGATATTGGTACATTTGCACTATCTAGTAAGCAACGATAGTATGATAGAGAGAAACACAATCGCGCCCTTTTAACCGAACCCCCATTGACAGACGCTCTATCATAATGTTAGCATGCATCCACCCCCGTTTTCGGGACTCATTTGGGTATGCTAGTAAGTACAGAAATTACGCTTTCGTCCCAGACATCACGTCCCAAAGACAAGTATGCATGCATAGATCGGTTCCATATTTATAAAGTTATTAAGTTTCTGAACCCCCTGGATCGTCTGCTATTGAGAAGATCTAAAGATCTAAAGCCATGTGTGCATCCCAAGAGTGTTCACACACTTTTGAAGAAACAAATTGGTGTTTCTGTGGGTATTCCTTTGGGAAGTGGTTACCGTATTTCCAGCCTGAAAGGATCAGTCGAGCTGAGATGGCAATAGGATGTAAATGAAAGTCCGGGAAGTGAAAAACCAGGGTAAACAAACCGTGGTTCGCTTATTGTAATGGATTGTTTATTCTAAAAATGTGCACTACATTACACTGCATATGTCTACCACTGAAAATAATGTTCCTCGTGCGTCCATCTTTCCGGATTTCGGGGTGGTTGCTCCCTAATGAGGCGATACAGTGTGAAGAGGTCACTTCCAGCTGCTTTACTTTCGTCAGGGGTCAGCAGGATTGTCCAACTAACCAGTCTCTGGGGTACCGGGAATCACAGGCTCCGGATCAGCGATTGAACACCATGCCACGAGAGACTGACAGTAGTATGATTAACCTGTTCCTGAACAGGATCTTTTGACACTTTTCTTTGTTCTTACTCACGGGAATAAGGAACAATAATAATCACCGGTAGCGACTAGCCACTTAATGATAATAACATCTGGGAAGACTAACAATTTAGGCGTAGTTTGTCCAGCATCATTTACACGGATTACTAATTGTCCCATCGATAAAATAGTGATGAGCAGATACGTGTTGACTTTCACCATACTTCCTTTACTCTTATCTGTTACGAGCTGTAGAAAAGCGTCCAGGGAGTGTAAAAATTCACTTCACTCGGTTTAACATGTTTGTCAGAGGATGCTCTTGTGTGGCAGACATTAGATCAACGAATTGAAGATGCATTCAGGTTGCACAGGAATTTTCTGGTGACTATCGATTTAAGGTAAGGTGGGTTTCAGAAAGACGCAAAAGAACCACGAGTATCACAGCACCAACCTTTGGGGCTGATTTGGGCAATCAATGGTCTGTCTGTCTTCGAAGACCTCCGGAGGGAACGAAGTGATCATCTGCGGTACTGGTCGAAGTGCTCCTAAAACCTTGCTAATCACCTCATTGCGTTGGGGGTGAAGGCAAAAATACGAAGCAAAAAGGCAAACAGCCGGTAGAATGAAAGTTGAAACAGGTAGACACTAATGTGACCTGTTGAGTTCGGGGCAGAAAGCATACGCATTGGATTTGTTTCCGAGTGGGGGCCATTCGGAAGGTGTATGAACTGTGCAAGACGTCAGCCTACACTAGGCTCTGTTGCTCCAAAGGTTATAGCATTAGGATGTCAGGCGTTCCACGTGTGGGTGACCATACGAATTACCAACGAAACCACGAAAAGGTATTTGGTGATCTGGGTAGCTTATGCTGTAACTTAGAGCTACACATCATTTGCCTGGTATGACGAAACAGATCCGTTTTTATCACTATCCGACATGTCGTGTCTGCCATAGAGCTTTACTACCGACACCTTTGTCTTATCGTATTCTTTCATCCCTCGTCTCTTAGACACAGGTTTCCGTCGACAGTGATGAGCGCAGTGTTCCATTTTTCCATAAACATTACCCCTTTTATTAAAATTGAAATTTGTATGGGTTTCTACACCATCCACACTTCATCCGGTAGGTGAAAGTGAAGAACCGGTAGCAAAAGAACAAAACTGATGGGGGGGGGTTACCACAACAATGGACACCGGCAGTGTGGATGGGGTAAGTAAACGAAATATATACTCAACATCCAAACTTCTAATCATTAACATTGCACATTTAGGTTATTACCCAATCATCTCGGAGAACGGACATTTTCAACCATTTGATTCACTGGCTCCTAATACCCCGAGCAAGCTGATTGCATAAAATCACGCTGGAGAAACTTTTTACGAATCTTAAACGTTGAGACCTGACGCTCTACCGCTGGAGAACTCATTGCCCGACCACGGAATAAAACGAATTGCCTTGAAAAAGCTGGCTTTGCGTTTCCAAGTAATGCAACATTTTGACCTAGAAGACAGTGTAAATGTCAAGCACGGTGTGGGAATGAACGTTCGGAGGAACGCAGAAGCAACGTTTCGATACAGTTGACTCTAACCAAGGGGAAGAAAGTGATAAAAGTAGCGTAATCCTCGAGCACTGCAGCTTGTGTATGCATTTGTGTGTGTGTGTGTGTGTGTGCATTAGTCCTCTGGGGTGGGTTTGGGGAAAGTAGAGAAACGGGTTGATTGAACATGAACGCATTTTCCCAACTGACTGCCAATCATAAGAGGAAATGTTACATTCTCGCAGGAACACTTCAATGCACAAGTAAGTAGAAGTGCGGTGAAGAAATTGCCAAGTGTCAAGCATATTGAAAGAGGTGTAGTAAACCCTGGTCGGAGGAACACGTTTAATCTAGCAAAATTTTGGTTAATGATGAAAATGTTCCCTCGAACCGAACTGTGTTGTGTTTTATAGACGGTTAATTATGTCGGTCGGACGTTCACACGTGAGTTGAAACTATTTGACCGGGGCCAAATTACATGAGTTGTTTTCAATCAGGATGGAATAGCTACCGGAGATTTCTCGTTTTGATACTAGTTTATAGCGGTAAGATTATTAGAAGCTCAGTCCCTCGGTTGAAAAAAGTATGACAAATATTTCAGCCCCATTATGGAGTACAAAACCCCTGAAATAAATATGAACTTTCTTTTGTAAGGATTAGCGAGGTTACGAGCGTTTTGAGTAGGTCAAAGCAACATGGATTCAGGTGATTATTCATTCACTCTCACGCACGTTCTTAACTGTACCTCGTCACAGCAATGCAGTCTGTGGGATAGAGCGTGTGGGCGCGCGAGAGTGGGCGCGTTCGGTGTTTACATGACAAAGAAATTACAAGGAAATTTTATGGCCCATCTCTTGTTTCGCATCATGTAGCGCCAGGCCCAAATCGGCAAACAAGACCAAATTACATTGTCGTGCTTGCAAGTGTGCGTTCGTATGTGTGTAAGTGCGCTAGCGCACCGAACACATTAGTCGGTCTCGTCATATGTGTGAACTCCGAGCCACCACCAACACGCTGGCACTACTGTGGGCGCTCCCTGCAATCGTTGTCGTTGCAACAACGACGACCACCACCACCACCACCACCACCGTGGTCAGCACACCAGAACCACCAGCAGAGCAATCGTGTGATTACGAACTGAGCAACATCGAATACATCATGTTGCATCGGTAATTCGCCTGCATCAACAAAGCGCACGGCATGCACGAACGCACGGGCGATACTCCCCTGTTTGCTCTCCCCCCGGTGACATTCTCCTGATCTCACTAGCTCAATCCATGGAGTAGCAGCTGCTTGTTCGAGTGAATTAGTCGAGATGGGGCTGTAAGCGCCATCGGGCAATTCACACGCCACGACGAACAAGCGTAGCTGTACTCACGCATTCGAATGGTCCATCCGTGCGCCGCCCACATACGCACACAAATGGGCTCGAGCGCCCTCCAATACGTGTGGAAGCAGATTAGGCACACACACACATGTACGCAAGCATGCACGGCCGAGCAAATATGTGAGTAGGTCGACTGATGACCGGGCTACTCTGAGCCTTTCCCAAGCATTGCTTTTCCGAGTATGCAGACTATCATTTCCCTTGGGGTCATGCTGCAACATGGTAAATAATCGTGAGTCAGACAATGCCATGGCTCAGCAGCTCAATCGCACACACAAAGACTGAGGCGCTGGCTGTTACGTGAATTTGACTGGGACTCACAGGATTTAAACGTACACGCCGTGCGGACGTAACCGGCAGGGCTGTCAGACGAACAAAGAGAAAATGGTCAGGTAGGTAGGTTGGCAGGGAGACCTTTCGAGAGCACACCGAGTGGATGTGACGGTGTGAGACATTCAGTGGCGGGTGAGCAGATGGACAAGCCACTGCAATTAGTACGTGAACTGAAAAGTCAGACGAGTCGGTGGTCTGGCTGATGGATGAGTGAGCCGAGCGGTGCAGACTCGGGGCATTGGTTGTCGTTACCAATCGATAAATACCGTTTGCCACACAAGGCAAGGTCCCGAGTTTTAAGGCCAGCAATAGCTCGCAACGGTATATCTGTCAAAGGCATTATAACCCTCGGAAAGTTATCAGTCCGGGTAGAAATTTCAAATATCCCATTTGGTCACAAACGACCTCATAAAGAGTGAAAACCAACCAGACAAGTGCTCCGTTATTTTAAATACACCGAACTGAACAAATACCATATAAACCCATTGGTTAATGGCCTTCGAGCCATCTCTTCCGGAATGTTTCGCGACCGCCTCAGAACCATAGCTCGTGTGGGTTGGTGTCGGCGAATCCGTAACGAGACAGTTAGAAAGCGTGTTTTCGGCTGTGTAACGGGTACTTCCATTGAAGAATGTGTCCAGCACCAGAAGCTGCGTTGGTTGGGACACGTGTTACGTATGCCGAACCATCGTCTGCCGAAGAGAGTACTGTTTTCCATGCCCAATTCGGAGTGGCGTAAACACAGAGGTGGCCAACGCTTGACTTGGCGGAGGAGTATGAAGGAGATCACGAAACGCTTGGGTGCTGTCGGTGCCACTCGCCTTCCAGGATGGGGACCGCGTGATCCTCACTGTGCCTGGTTGGAGACACTACAAGATATGACTGCCAACC